TTGCTCTTCATATGCAGATCACAGCAGTGAAAGAAACCAAGCCAAATGCCCCAAAGTCACATAAACTGTTCCTTTGATGTCTGCTAACATCCCATTGGTCACAGCAAGTCTCTTGGCCAAAGCAAACATCGGTGGGGTGGGAGCTCACACTCTGCCTACACTAATACTGCAAAGTCACATGGCAAGGGGAAGGATGTATAATTTTATAACCAGAAGAGAGGGAGGAATTGGGAAGTATCGTCTTATTTTCCATCATTACCTTCATTGGCTTATTGTAGGGAATACCCAGGTCAGGTCTGTGAAGGGCTCAGCACAATGCCCCGCAGAGTCAACATGAGGTAAGTATTAGCCATCATCACTGTTTGTTCCCAAGCTGTCACCCAACATTCTCACCAGTCTTTCCAGATTTAGGTCATTCAGAGCCACACCTGTCCTCTTTAACTGGCAAATTCTTTGCCACTGATATAATTCATTGCAGTCTGATGCAGAAAAGGTGCCCCGCTGCCAGGAGCCTGGGGAAATGAGCAGTGGTAAAGAACAGCCAGCCCCAAATAGGCAGAGACTACATGAGGCAACCATGCCTCCCTTAGGCTTCTGCGACATCGAAGACCCCTTCTTGCAGAAGTAGGATGGGCATCAGGGAGAAAGGGCAGACTTTTGAGAACTTTAAGAATTTTTCAGGAGATAGGTGCCTCGGTGGCTCAGTTGATTGAGTGTCCGACTCCTGATTTCTGCTCAGGTCATGATCTCACAGTTTGTGGAATCGAGCCCTGTGTTGGGCTCTGCACTGGCAGAATGGAGCCTGCTTGGGATTCTCTCTCCCTCTCTCTCTCTGCCCTTCCCCCGCTCATGCCATTTCTCTCTCAAAATAAATAAATAAACATTTTTTTAAAGAACTTTTTTTAACGTTTATTTATTTTTGAGACAGAGAGAGACAGAGCATGGATGGGGGAGGGTCAGAGAGAGAGGGAGACACAGAATCTGAAACAGGCTCCAGGCTCTGAGCAGTCAGCACAGAGCCCGACGTGGGGCTCGAACTCACTGACCACGAGATTGTGACCTGAGCAGAAGTTGGATGCTCAACCGACTGAGCCACCCAGGCACCCCGAAATAAACATTTTTTTAAAAAAAGAAGTTTTCAGGAGAATTTTGTCACTAACATGTTTAAAAAAAAAAGCCCCATATTATCACCTAGATGACTTTTTTCCAACTGGAAATGAGGAGAAAATTGGCAAATCGGCAAAGAAGAAAAAGTGACTTATCTCAGACTAAAGTGAGCCTTCTCTCACCAGCTTGCTTTTGAGGTATCACCTGACTGGAAGCACTCCTGGATGGTTCAACTGAAATGTTTATGACAAGAGAGCAATTTCTCAATACAATTTTCACTCTTGTATTTATAATAGAAAAAGTAATAGATAAACATATGAAAAAGGGCTCACTCTCAATAGTCTTCGGGGAAATGTAAATTAAAACCACAATGAGATACTGCGGCACACCCAGCAGATTGGCTAAAATAAGAAAGACTGACAGTAATAAGTGAAGGTGAAAATGTAAAGCAACTGGAATTGTCAAGCACATCCCAGTGGAAGTGCAAATTTATACAACCATTTTAGAAAACTGTCTGGCAGTAACTGTTAAATCTGAGCATACACACACCCTACGATCCAACAGTTTTCCTCCTCAGTATACACCTCTCAAAAATGCTTACATATGTGCACCACCAAATAAGATGTACAAGAATTTTCAAAACAGCATTATTCATAATAACTCCAAATTGGAAACAACATAAATTTCCATCAACAGTAGAATGGATGAATAAAGTATATGATACATGATGAAATATACCATATGTCAACTAAAATTAACAAGATACTCTACATGCAACAACATGGGTGTATTTAAATACGATGTTGAATAAAAGACACCAGATGTAAAAGACAACACAGTGGGGACACCTAGGTGGCTCAGTCAGTTGAGCGTCTGACTTTGACTCAGGTCATGTTTCACAGTTCGTGAGTTCAAGCCCCACATCGGGCTCTGTGCTAACATCTCAGAGCCTGGAGCCTGCTTCGGATTCTGTGTCTCCCTCTCTCTCTGCTCCTGCCCTGCTCTCACTCTGTCTCTCTCTCTCTCAAAAATAAAACATGAAAAACTTAAAAAAAAAAAAAGACAACATAGTGTATGATTCTATTTATATAATTTTTAAATAGGTTAAAAATGACCTCTCCTCTTAGGAGGGATAATAATTATCTATGGAGATCAGAGAGGGGTAGAGACTGGCAGGGGACATGAGGACATTCTATTTCTTGACCTGGATGGCAGCCATATTGGTAATACGGGCTGGATTGTATCCCCCAAAAGATATCCACCTGGAACCCCAACCTTATTTGGAATAAGGGTCTTTGCAGATGTAATTAAGGTAAGGATCTGACGAGAAATCACCTGGATTAGGGTGGGCCCTGAAGCCCACGATGGATGTCCTTATAAGAAATGGAAAAGGAGAAGACACACAGACACAGAGTGGAGAGGGTCATGGGAAGACTCCTGTGAAGACAGAGTCAGAGATTGAAGGGATGCCACCACCAGCCAGGAAATGCTTGCAGCCACCAGAAGCTGGAAGAGGCAAGGAAGGATTCAGTCCAAGAGCCTTCAGAGGAAGCATGGTCCTGCTGAGGACCTGGATTTCAGACTTCAGTCTTCCAGATCTGTGAGAGAATACCTTTCTGTTGTTTTACACCATCGTGTTTGTGGTAATTTGTTATTGCAGCTCTAGAGAACTAGTACAGATTTTGGTACTAAGGAGTGGGGTGGTGCTGTAGCCAATGCCTACAAATATGGAAGTGGCTTTGTAATTGGATAATAGGTGTAAGCTAGAAGAGTTTTGAAGCAGAAGATAGAAAAAGCCTAGGTTGTCTTGAAGAGATGGTGGAAATATGGGCTTTAAAGGTGATTCTGGTTAAAGCTCAGAGAGAAGTGAAGGTCAAGAAAGGGAAATCTCTAACCTCTTAAAACTACGTTTGTTATCATAAATAGAGTCTTGAACAAAAGGCAAACATTAAAGGTACTTCTGGGGAGGGACATGTCTTTAGAAACCGGAGAAAAAGCAACCCATGTATAAAGTATGAAAAAAGTTGGCTGAATGGAGTTCTGCTGTTGGGTGGAGGGTAGAACTTGTGAGCTGTGAACTTGGATATTTAGTTAGCAGAGGAAATCTCCAGGCAAAGTGTAGAAGATGCAGCCTGGTCATTCCTTGCTGCTTATAGTGACATTCAAGAGGAAAGGGATAAATTGAGGAAAGGAACTGCTAAGCAGCACCTGATGATGCGAGAGGTTCTTGGTGTCTCCATAGGAACTAACACAACAGGCATACTGTGCTCGCTTTGCAATGTACTCATCAAGCTGGTGCTTACAAGTTATATACTTTTATGTACATGCGTTACACTTACATTTTTTTAAAGGGCAATACAAACTCATGGCTGAAAAATTAGGAAATAGACAAGCACAAGTAAGAAAAATGTTTAAATTTAAATTTAAAAAATTTTCACTACCCATATTTCTAATACCTAGAGACAACACCTGTCAACATTTTATTTTATATGTATTAAGATTTTCTTCTACATGGTTTTTTATATTTCTACATATATTTTTGCCAAAATGTGAAATGTCTTATCACACATTCTGACCTATTGGCTACTTTTTTCTCTTAACGATGTATTTATTGGCAGATAATTTTTCCAATAAATATACTCCTATAGGTCACTCTCAAGGCACAAGATAGAAAAATCCTAGGCTGCCTTACCATCAAAAAGATGGTAAGTGCTTTACAGATTTACACAGATTTCACAGTAACACGCTTTATTCCTGTTATTTTAGTTGAATGCCCTTCTTTAAATTTATTCAGGAATATAGACATTTATAAAGTAAAAAAATATCTTATTCCTTAGGGTAACTTATTTAAATTTTCACTTCTTTGATTATAAGGAATATTAAATACATTTTCATATTTGTATTGCCATTTCTATTTCTTCACTGTGAACTGCCTATTAATAGCCTTTGCCCCTTTATTTCTATTATAGTGTTTCTTTTTTTCTTATAAACTTGCGATGATTCTTTACATATTGAAGATAGTAATTTCCTATTTGTCTGATATGTTATAAATATTTTTCTCAGTTTTACTATTTGCTTTTCATTTTGTTTATGATAACTTTTTATGCATAATTTGATATTTATGTAGTTCCAAATCTAAACATTTTTTATGGTTTCTGCCTTGGGGTAATGCCTGAAAAGACCCACCACATACCCAGATTACATGAATAGTTAACTAAGGTTTCCTCTAGTGCTTTTATGGTATGCTTATCTTTTTGATTTTTTATCTTCCTGGGATTTCTTTCAGTGTATGGTGAGAGGTAAAGGATTAACTTGCTTTTTTAAGTAAAAATTATTCTAGCATCATTTATTGGATAATCCTTCATTCACATTATTTTTAAATGCTCGGTTTTTTCCCCCAGGTACAGAAAATAGACATATCCTTGCTTTAGGGGTCCATTTAGTTATTCCATCTATTCTGTTTCAGGTTCTGCATGTTTATTTGAATGCAACTTTATGTTACAATTTACTACCTTTCACTGTAAGGTTCCCCTCCAATTTCTTCCTTTTACATATGTTTTTGTTATTCATGTGCACCTATGCTTGCAGATAAACTTTAGAAGTTACAAAAACAAATCTATTTGCATTTCAATTGTCCCTTCATCTGAGGTGGATATGTTCCAAACCCCTAGTGGGTGCCTGAACCCATGGATAGTGATGAGCCCTATGTATACTGCTTTTTCCTATACATACAGACCTTTGATGAGTTACATTTGTGAATTTGGCACAGTACGAGATGAACAGCAATAACTAATAAGATAGAACAGTTATAACAATATGCTATAATAAAGGTTATGTGAAAATGCTGCTTCTCTCCCTCTCAATATGTCTTATAGTACTGTACTCACCCTTCTTGCCATGAGGTAAGCTGATAAAATGCCTACGAGATGAGGTGAAGCTGGGCGGATGATGTAGGTATCGTGGCATAGGTTCGGTGACTACTGACTGTCTGATGATTCATCAGAAGGAGGATCATCTGCTTCTGGGACCGCAGTTGATGGTGGGAAACTGAAACTATGGAAAGTGAAACACAGATAAGAGGGTACTACTGTAGATTAATTTTGTGGAGAGCTGCCATCTTCTTAATAAAGACAGAGTATTCAGGAACAGAAATGGTGAGTATCTGGGGAAACAGTAACAAACACACCTGTGCGACTGATGGAATGTATTCCTGTAGAATCCTGTAGAAGCAGAGAGACGGATGATACTGCATCATTAGGCTGTGGCCAGACGGCATTTAGATTTCTCTTAGAAGCAGTACAAAGCACTTTTGAGAAAAGTTAGTCTCACAAATGCACATACACTAATGAAACTGGAGAGACACAGGATGCAAGAGACTGACGGGGGGGGGGGGGGGGGTGGCGGGGAGGGGGGTGACAACCGTAAATGGTTTAAGGCCACATGGGATTAAAGAAT